AATTATCAATTGTCTATCAATTTAGTTTGCTACTTTATAAATTTGTTGATAACAATAAAAAAATTTCAGTTTAAACTGTTCAAAATGTAAGCATAATAAAATGTAAATTATTATATTATGACAAATTTTGATAGCCTATAAAATTAGTTTGTGTTGTAAATTTATAAGCAAAAAATTTGAGTTTAAGCTGATCAGTTTAAGTTCAAACATGATGGTCTAGAAATATGATACAAGCATTTTATATATATTTTAAAGCTTAATATATTGTATAGCTTAAGAACTAAAGACTTTTAAAGCAACTAAAAGATATGAAAATGCATATAGTGAATACTGAACATGAATATATATTTTCATATGATAATTTATAATAATTCTTCTTCAGCATTCAGATTCATAATATAAATTGTCAGATATGAATATGTTTAACAAATTATAGTGAAATAAAGCGAACTTGATTATTTGGCCATAGGAATCAGTCAATTATAAAATGTTTCTCTATATATATATGTGTGTGTGTGTGTGTGTCTATGTGTGTGTTTAATGGCTAAGATCCCATAACCGGCTTTGTTCCAACATCCGCTGCTGTGTTTTGTTTACTTGTGAATTCTTTTTATCGTTTTTTGTTTAATAAAAAGTAAATTGTGCAAAATGGCTAGGAAAGTCGTGTAGCACAGCATCACGTACCTGAGTTTCCATTTGATGCCGGCGTGGACGAAGTTGATCTGCGGCTAAACATGCTCGTTATGGACCTGCTAATGCTGCGGCGCTTGTTGTCGCTGCGTCTGAACGGATCATAGGCACTGGTGGGCGATGCCTGCACAGGCGTTGCTGCCGACAGCGTTGCATAGGTGGAACGCTGTTGCGCTTGTTGTTGTTGTTGCTGCTGCTGCTGCTGCGTGTGGCTGTTGGTTTGCGCCAGCTGCTGATGCTGCTGTTGGTGTTGGAGCTGTTGATGCAGCGGTGAATTGTCAGTGATCTTGCGCGCATTGACCAAACGGAACTCGCGATCGATCAGGTACGAGCGAGCCACATCGATAATCTCCAGCGAGTTCTCTGCGACCGGCAGCTCAGCATCGATTTGCTGCTTGAGCATTCGCAGCACCTGATGGAACGACGGCGTGTCCGAGGTGATGGCAATGTCGGAGCGCAGCAACAGCGAGTGGATGAGCGGCAGTGGGTACCAGGCGAGTCGTGTGATTAGCCCAGTTAAATGCAGGTTCACGTACAACGAGTTGCTCGTAAAGGTTTGCAGTTTGCTCCAAATGGCATTCAGAAAGGGACCTGTCCAAGTGGCGGAAGCAGAACGTGCATCAAAATGTGCTCTATGAAAGTATATCATCTTGCTACTCACCTAAGCTTACGGTGCCCTGCGCAAACAAATCCTCCGAGAAATCCAGGTCGGTGAGCAATATCTCGTTGCGACTGCTGTGCGATATGCGCCACGAGTCGCGTCGCCCACTGCTGATGCTGCTGCTATTGTTGTTGTGCTCCAGATCTGTGTCGCTGGCTGATGCTGTTGTTGTTGTGGTCACATCGATGCCCTCGGCATCCTCATCGGCAGGCCGCCACTTGAAGGACTCGTATCCACTGGATTCGCCTATCGATTGCAGGCTATCTAGCTGCTTTTCGCCCGCTTCGCTGGCAACAGGCGCCGCAACCACCGGAGCTGCTGTGCCAAATTCGCTGAAGAACTGCCTGGCCAGCTCCAGAGCATGGGCCGTAGCTCGTGCCTGACCCTGCCTGGGCCACTTTTGATATCGATAGCTGTTCGCCCACTTCCTGCAGTCGCGCTGACACTGAGCGATCCGCGAGTGTGCCTCAAACAGATACGCCTGCACGTTGGCATACAGGCTGTCGCCCGTGTAGTGGCCATAGTAGTTCCAATTGGCTCCAATCGTTTTGCTCATGACCGGCGAAGGTAAGCTGAGCAGCATGGAAGGTGCTGTTGCTGTTGTCGTTGCGGTTGCTGCTGGGTCAACCAGCTCCTGAACACTCTTTGGTCGCGCCAGGTCACGAGCGCGCTTCATCACATCGGGCGTCAGTTCCAAAAAGAACTCGGTCGTGTTTAGATACGGATCAATCTTGTTGATCTTGTGCCGATGCGAGATGGGCACATGCTTGCCAGGCAGCATATACTTCAGCAACAGCTCCAGCATCAGGTCCTCGCAGTGCAGACCCAACAGTGTATCAAACAGGGCCATCGTAACCATGCACAAATTGGCATCAGGCGAGTGTAGCCGCTCCACAAGAGCATCCAAAATTCGTTCACCGTCAAATTTCTCCGTATCCAAGAGAAATTTGACAAAGGCACGCATAAGGCCGGGCTCCGTAATGGAGCGTAATATCAAGTCCAGATAGGACATAGCCGAGATTTGTGAGTCGATGTTCGTCTGAAAATGTTTGCCCTTCAGTGTCTGCGAATTGGAGCGCAAAAAGTTGTTTCGAGATTTCGAGGCGAGGTGTTTGTGTTTTGGTTAGCTTGGGGTCGGCCCAAAAAGAGAAGAATAGGATAGCACACACATACTATATACTACGCTTATGTAGCACACATCACAAATGATAATATTTATTATTGAATGAATATAAAGCGAAGAAATGAATACATATGTATATTCCTCTCATTGAGGAAGTCAATTTTCTTTTGATTGCGCATAAACGTAGTTATATAGATAGATATATAGGTGGAAAGCAAACACACACTGAGACAAGAGCACCAAGAGTATTTGACAATTGACAATTTTTTGCAACCAACACCACAGAAATGCATCGAAGACAAGTTTTTACGTGTGAGAGCACAAAGCAAAAAACGGAGACTCACCTGCAGTATAGCCGGGCCCAGCACCGGCACTATGAAGCCCTGATACATAAAGTCGAGCAACTGTTGCTTAATCATCTCATGGGCCACCTGCACGACGGCATTGCAGAACTCGAGGGCGTTCATAAAGAGCGTCAGCTCGGGTATTTCAGTGACATCGTCGGGCGTGATGCGATGCCAGTCAATGGAGTTGATCTCGATGCTGTTCGGAAGGCGTGAATAGAGTCCACCGAGACCGGTGACAAGCAGCGGGCAAATGGACGAGTATTGTGCTATGTAGTGGCCAATGTTGGAGTTCTTCTGCGACAGAGCCATGCAGAGCAACAGAGCGTCGCGCGCCTGATGACCCAAGCTGCCCTCCCGATGCACGTATGGTATGAGCAGGGAAAATATGATGAAACTAAGAAGGAAATAAATATAAATAATCATCGTGTGCCACAATATATAGCTAACTAGCTTTCGCTGATTAAAAGATCGACTCACTTGGTTGTTGTTCCACTTTTGGGGGCAGGCAAGCTTCCGTTCTGTATTTGCTCCTGCACCTGGGTTTGGGCCGAAAAGAAGAATAGATCGAGCAGATGGACATTCTGCATGAGGACGACGCACAGCTGGTTCAGTAATATGACCAAACGTTTCTCCAGGTCAGGCGGAAAGATTTCGCCTTGACTCGAAGCGAGTATCTTGAGCAACGGCCGCAGAAATGGCTCGTGACACAGCAGCTGGTGGCGCGAGTGGCTCACCAGCAGTTCGTACAGTTTCAGTTGCTCCAGACGCACAGCGTTCGCATAGCGACCCGTGGAGCTGGCCCATTCGTACAGCTTGTCCAGCAGATTCTCGCTGAGCAAGTACTCCAGGCAGGGCGCTGCTGGGGGTGCCGCATCGGCCGAGGGTAGCGACACCTTGTTGCAGTGATGCAGCTCAACCAGTAGCAGCGTTACCATGTAATCTAAATGCGAGACCACGCCCAGCACATCATCGTGCGTGGGCGTGCCCGGATGCTGAATAATTTCGTGCGCCTGCTGCCAGTGCTTACAGAAGCTATCGTAGCAGGCGCGCGGATCACAGTCTGTGGCTGCGTCTATGGGTCGTTGACGCATCGTCGTTGCAGTGCCAGAGCTGCCGTTGCCAGAGCTGCTACCGCTGCGCGTCAGACTTTGACGCAATGGACTCGTACGAAGCCAACTCATTATTTTGGGTTCGTTCCGTTCGGCTATTCCGTTGAGCTTTGGCGGCGTTGCTGCGATAAGTGTAGTTGTAGTAATTTGGCATGTATTGTTGTTATCTTACAGTTTGTGCTTTGTCCGAGCTTTGTGTGAGTATTTTCGTTGCCATACATAAATTTACAAATAGATTTTTACAGCTGAAACAGACGAAAGCGTCAAACAGATAAGCTTTAACTAATGCATCTTCAGCAACGAGTACACCAATAGCAGCAACAGCAACAGCAACAATCACAACAAGAATATACACAAATATACATACAAACATTTGCATCATACACTCACTCACTCATTCACATACATACAAACAAATGTATTTATTGGGGCAGGCGAGCGAGCAAGTGGCGTTTGATAGTCACTGAAGCGCTGCAAATTGTTGTTGGCACATATTGCTTACTAAGTTTGCTGATTACCTGCTGAATTTTCATAGTCCACTTCGTCATCGTCTTGGCGTTTTTTGGTGTGCTGAAAAAGATTTTTTCAACCAGGTATTGCCTCTTAGCGCGCGTAACACCACCACAAGCTTTTTTAACTGTCTTTAATTTTTTGGCACTGGGAAATTATAGCGAAAAGACGACGTCGACGACAGCACGGCCCCGTCCTTGTGCGCGCACTTGACAGGGGGAAAATACGCAATAGTGATTTGTTTGCTGTTCAACAACATGCACCGAACATTGTTAACACCTTAATGCCTCATTTTGGTATATTTTGGATTGGTTTTACGCGAAATTATTTCATTTTTATAAATATTTACAACAAATAGAAAGTAATGAATGAATTGGTGGTAGTCGAGCGATAGATTTGTGGTGGTCGCCCGATTCCGATAAATTAGACCATTGTGAATAGTGTTTACAACACTAGTCTCTAATAATCCGATTGCTTTTTATTTTGACTCATCGATAATATACACTTCGCGCCTAGTCTATCGAAAAAAATTAATTCAAATTATTGAATAATCTAATAGATTTATTTCTGCTGAATCGCTATTTATTGATTAATTTTAATAGACATACACTTTATTTAGCATACAAATTACGAAGTTATATTATAAACGCGTTATTACAAAAAGAACAACAGCACACAAAGAGGATATGCAATGAATAGTTTGTGTATATATAGACATTAACTGTTTGTCAAGCTCCTTAGATTAACGTTCTTTTGCGGATCATTTTCATTAATGAATATTCTTGTCAATGCCGTCCTTCTTCTTAATTTCATAAAACCATTAACCAAGTTAGAGTTGCACATTTTAAAAATTCTTTGTATGATTTTGCTAACAAATAACATAGTTAAATAAATTGTCTCTAAATATTTGTAATAATAGGTTGTATAAAACGGAAGGGGTCTACAAGAGTGTGTCCAAATGTCAACTCAAACTCACATCGGCAATAGCGACGGACCGACACTGCTACTTCGTGAGCTGGGCCTCTCTATGGTCATAGTTTGCTGTGGTACTTGGCTATCGGTGCTTATGCCCAAACCCGCATAGATTTCCTTCATCACAAACAATATGGTGTCCTCAGAGCCCCTGTAAAATGTAGTAGAAAGTTACAATCTTGATTTAAGCATCATTTCATCATTATTTCATCCACTACTCACCAATAGCACACATGGCTACTGAGTGCAAAAATATACTCGTTGATGAACTCCAGTGGCGCCTCCTGCAGCACGTAGTCCACGCGTTTCGAGTCATTCAATTTACCCAGCGGAAAATCAAGCTCAATAAATTCAGGATCTGACGCTGTCGTGGACTCTGAATCGGTACGATTACGCGCATGCGCAGAAGTGGTCGCTGTTGATAAATCATCCGTGTCCTCACTTTGTTTATGGAATATCTGCGAATTACTCTATAGAATTGGTTATTAACCAAATCGATTGTCAATGTTAATCTACTTGTAACTTACTGAGTTGACTTCCTTTTCCAGCGTCTCCTCGGCCTCCTTCTTGACCCTGGTCACCGTAGCCAAGAAATTGACGCTATCTAATGTCGTCTTGAACGTATCCATGAATCGTTGCTTTATGTCCGCTCCGACGCGTGTCATTGTCTCCTTCAGCTCAAGATGCATGCGCTTACGTCCTTTGTGATGTGGAATCAAGACCGGGCGAATGCCTTTCATATCCGGATTGACTAGCGCCTCTATACGATACGCAACCGGATCGAAAGGATGGAATATATTGTAGAAGCCCGCACATGTGGGTAGCCGAAAGTCAAGGCCGAGCTTATCGATGCCACGTATGGTCACAAACATGCCAATGGGTGAGCCCAGAGCAAAGAACTTCTTTGGATGGAAAATTAGCTGCGTGTAGTTGATCACCGGCTGCCCAGTGCCAGCCGGCCCAATGCCCATGGCGTAGCTGACCTGCTTGGGCATCATTGCATCGTTGTTGGGCAGTTGTACGTTTTTCGATTCGGTCCCCTTCTTCTGTGGTAGTTGATCAGGATTCTCCTGTTGAATATTTAGCTTTTGTATTATATTGCTTAAAATGTAGTCTTTGGTCTCTGCTCATTGGCTCACCTTATTTTCCTCTTCGCTCTCCTTGAGCGGCTCCTGGTGACACAGCAGATCAAAGAGTATTAACGAGCCGAGACTGTGGCCAGCCAGCGAGACACCGCCATTGAATTCCGGATGTCGCATTCGATACTTTAGATAGGTTTCATTCAAGGCATCAGCCACCGTGTTCATGATCTTCTGACAGTATTTGGGACTGGTATAGAAGAGCACATCTAGCAACGTGTCGTTTGTGAAGTTGCGCAATCGTGGTATGGACTCTAAGGTAATGGACTTCAGCTTCTCATCAATGCCAAGCTCTTCAGAGTGCAAATGACCATGCCATTCAATAGGCAGCACTTCCACACGTCCCACTAGGCCCATGTCCGTGGAGTTCTTGTAGTGGGACTGCACCAGCTGCTGGGCAATGTATCGGAAATCATCCACTAAAGAAAAGGGTTGAGTAAATGATTTTTTAATTTGAATGAGTTTGTGTTTTTCACATACCGACTTCCTCGACATTGCGCATCTTTAGATCACAAGCCGAGCCAATGCCATGTACCATGAACAGCAAATGATCCACACGCTGAGATTCGCCCTGTTGTATCTTAAAGTCATTCAAATCCCGTTTCACGACCAACGGCCGTGACGTGCCTTGCACGCTGCTTCCCCATGTATCGGCGGGCGAGGGTGGCATGAAGTGGACAATGACATTGGGTCCATGCATGGTCACCTGCTCACCATTGGCCAGCGGTATCTTTTTATGCCATTCGTTTGTTTCGGTCGCGTGCCTATACTCCATCTCAAGTGCTTCTGCAGTTTGCTCCGCGTAGGGCACATATTTACCATCGACGCCCTTATAGAACCAGGAACAGCGGCGCACCTCAATGGCCTTTCCCTCCCAATAGACGGGTGTTTTGGTGCGCTCTTTGATGTTGACATCGTAGCGACCGCCCTCGACGGGCACAATGACTGATGAATCGGTTTCCTCTGTGGAAAGTAGAGAGAGAGAGAATTTTAATGTAATTTTAACTAGATCTCTAAAATCAGCGAGAGTGTTATTTTGCACGCATTGAAAATGGGATGTCTGAGAATTATTCTCAGGTTTTCCTAAATGCAGATGAAGGCGTGTCAGACCAAAAAGAGTATCTACGTTCTTGATCATGAGAGCAAGCTGAGTTGATTAAACCTTGATTAAACATTTTGGATACCAAATTCAGGGTATTTCCTTGTAGGGCAACTCGATTTTCCAACTTGTTTAGCTATTGAATTTAGTGCCGAATTCAACTCTAAATCAAGCTTTGCCAAAGCGTTCCTTCTTGTCCCTGACACTTACCGCTATTCAGGCTAGTTTCCAGCAGCGCTGAGTCATAGTGACTAAATGGTGTCCACACGAATTTACCATCCACATTGCGTTTGTAGAACCAATGCGGCAATACGGGCGTGTAGACCTGTAAATGGAGAACAATATCAATATCAATATCTGTTCATGCATTGCGTATTTCATCTCGACTTGAGACTTACCAAGGCTTCGCCAGTTGGCACCGTGGACGAATTCTTATCGTTGGCCATTCTCAGTTGCTGCAGGAGCTCCTCGGGCAGTTCGCCCAGATGTGACTGCAATAGATAATCGGACTGGCGATCGGCCTGATGCTGATTATTTGTTGGATTGGCAGCTGAGCCCGGTGCAGCTGTGGAGAACTCCGAGCAGGCAGATGAGGGCGGCTCCACAACGTTGGAGACAGACGTTTGGGAGCGCTGCTCGAAGCGCTTGTTTGGCAAGCCGCTGTGCACAATATCGTATTTGAGTTCACCCGGTGCGGCTGGCTGATCCTGCAGCGGAGGATTGTTAAAGAAGTTCTGTATGCGTTGATCCTCCTGCCCCTGTCCGCCGGCGGCAAAGTGATCAAAGAAATTGGCCGAATTACAGCCAGTCAGCGACTGTTGCTGTTGCTGTGGCTCTGGCTGTGTTTGAGGCTGTGCGACTGGCCCTGACCCCTCTACGGGGCTACCGAAATAGCCCGAAAATGTGTTCACACTTGAATTTTGATAAAAATGTTCGTTTGAATTTTGCGTTTGCTGTGCAGCTTGCTGAGAGTCGCTGATCAGTCGCTCAAAGCCAAGTGCCTGAGTGGAATGAGGCGTGGCGGTGTCACCAGCCGGCGGCTCTTGCGCTAGTGCGGGTGGTGCTACGTTATCCAATGGAGGCAACTCCGGAAACTGTCCCGCCTGCTGAGCTGTTCCAAAGAAATTGAAATCGTTGCCGTTCCCTGCCGGCGTAAAGAAGCTAAGCAGAGCCGAAGGAGCAGCCGCGGCTGTTGATGTGGGTGCTGGTTCGGCGGCTCTACGGAATGGATTCGCCTGTGAGGCGTTGTCCTGGTTGGCCGCTGCTTGTGGTGGTGGCGGCGGCGGTGCTGCTGCTGCTACTGTTGCAGGTTTTGCAGTCTCTGCTTCTGGTAACACCGGCTCAATAGTCTGTGCGGCGAAAAGTGAGTTGCCGTCTGCTTGAGTGCTGGGCTCCACAAAGCCAATGGGCGGTGTCAACGGATCTTGGGGCAGCGGTGTGGTTACTGTCTGTGCAAACGGATTAAAGAATGTGGTTGTTGTCTGAGTGGTCAACGCAACGCTGGGCAGATGTGAGACAGCGGCCGGTGCCTGCGCAGGTGGTGCAAATAAATCGGTTGTTGTGGTAGTTGGCTGTGGTGCTGCTACTTCTAGAGCCTCCTGAACCGGCCCACCTGTACTGTGCCCTGTGTACTGTGCAAAGAGGCTGTTGGCGTTAAAGATTGGCTGTGGCGCGCTTGTTTCTGCTATAGCTTCCTGATTCTTTGAATCGGACTCTGCTGTTGTTGTTGCCGCAGGTGGGTAAAGCTCTACGCTCTGACCCGCTTCAGCAGTGCCTGCTGCTGCTGGTACTGGCACAAATAATGGAGTTTCTTCACCAGCTTCAGTCGTTGCTGTTCGTATAGGTGGAAAAAAGACAGGCACTGCTGAAAGTTCTTGAAATAAAGCAGTTGGCGGTGTTTTGGGAGTCTCTTGACTTGGTTCGTCGACCTTGCTAGCGGTTGGCTGATCAGCTTCAACTGTTGGTGGTGCTGGTGCACTAACCAAGGAAGTTTCCTGCTCTGATTCCTTTTGCTGATTTGTCTGCTGCGGCTCTGGCTTGACATCCAACTGTGGCGTGAATAGAGTTGCTGTTGGTCCTTGTGAGAATATGGGCAAACTCTGCGATGTTGGGAATAATGGAACCTCCGAAACAGCTGAAGTTGAAGCCGGAGCAAATAGTGTAACCTCCTGACTTTGATTTGAAGTGCTGTTCAGCTCTGCACTCTGAGTCTGCGACGTGAAAAGATTGTTGCTTGTGTCCGTTAGAAGTTCTTGTTTTGCTTCAGTCGAGCTGGAAAAGAGAGGAGCCTCCTGAACTTTATCGGATGGTGCTGGCGCAAAGAGCGAGGCAGCTGGTGCACTGGCTTCGTGCGGCTGATAGAGCCCCGTCGATGTCTGTGGTGTAAAGAGCGATGTTGCTGGCGCAGCTGGTGGTGCTGCAGCTGCAAACAGAGGAACTTCCTGGCTGGGCGCTGGTGCAGCTGATGAAGTTGGTGCTGCAAATAGTTCAACTTCTTTTGGCTCTGTTCCACCAAAGGGATTAAAAATAGCAGCGGGTGCTGTGTAGGGTGCAAAGGGCGTGGCTGCTAATGCTGTGGGCTGACCAAAGGCGGTTGGAGCCTGCGCTGTTTCCTGCGCTGTCAGTGGACTCTTGTAGAGACGCGTACCCTTCTGCAGGCGATACGACGAGTGAGCAGGTCCAGCTGCTGGCGGTGGTGCTGCTGCACCCGTTGGAGCTGGTGCTGCTCCTGCTGACGTTTGTGGAGGTGCTGCAAATGCCGCTGGCGGTGGCGCTCCTGCAGACGTTTGTGGAGGTGGTGCAACTGCCGCTTGCGGTGGTGCTCCTGCTGCCGCTGGTGGTGGTGCTGCTCCTGCTGACGTTTGTGGAGCTGCTGCAAGAGCCGCTTGCGGTGGTGCTCCTGCTGCACCTGGTGGTGGTACTACAGCTGTTGCTGCCTTTGATTCAGTTGCTACCACTGGTGGTGGGGCTTCAACTCCTGGCGTTGCTCCTACTCCTGATGGTGGTGCTGCTGCTACTGCCGTTTGTGGCGATGCTCCGACTCCTGCTGTTGGTGGTGGTCCTGCTGTTACTGCCGCTTGTGGCGGTGCTCCTACTACTGCTGGTGGTGGTGGTGCTGCTGCTGCCACTGATGGTGGTACCTGCGCGACTGTTTGTGACTGAGAGACAGCGGGTTGCTGTGAGACTGCTCCTGGCTGAGTAAATGCCTGTGGTGCAAATGCTGCTGATGGCTGTACAGGTGTTGCTGGTCCACTAGCCGCTGTTGCTGGCGTAAAGAAATTAGCCGGCGTTGCAGCAACTGCGGCAGGATTGAAGTAACCACCTACAGTGGGTGGTGCTGCGGATGGCGCGAAATAATCTGCAGCAGCCGACGGAGCTGCTGGCGTAAAATAGTTTGCAAACGGCTGCGGAACGGCAGCAGAGGATGTGTTGATCTCAAAGTAGCCAACAGAATCAGCTGGATTGTAGGCGGTCTGTGGTGGCGGTGCCGCAGGCTCGTTGCTTCTGCCTGTGGCCGATTGCACAAGGCCCGAAATGTTCTGTAACACGCCAGATGGCACTAGATTAGTGAGCGAGAAGAGGCCACCACTCTTGCGTTCCTCTTGAACGGGCAGTGGAGCAGGCTGCTCGTAAGTTGCTGCGCCTGCTGCCGATGGCTGTGGGGGATATGGTGGTGCTTGAAAGGGATCAGCAGCTGGCACTGGCTGCTGTTGCTGCTCCGAGAGTCCCGGTATAGGCGCGTATAGTTTCTTCCTGGCGCTGATGCGATAAGTGTTCTGTCCAGCCGATGGGGGCGGCGGTGGCAAAGTGCCAGCTGCTAGGCCTGGCACCTCTGTGGGTGCATAGAATTTCGGTGGCTCTGGTGCAGCCTCGCCAGCATGTGCCGGTGGTGCGGCGTAGAAGGGCGGTGGCGCAACAGCTGCTGCGTGCACTTGACCCGCCTGCTGTATATAAGTTGGCTGTATATCCAGTTGAGGCTGAGCCTCGTCCGCTTCCCGTGTGCCCGCGTATATGCGCTTCGAGAACGTCGAGAAGACGTTGGAGGCCACCGAGGGCAGGGCGCCAAACGAGGACGCCGCCTGGCTAAGCAGAGAGTCTGCGGCAAGCGGCGGCTCTAGCAACGGATTCGCATTGGCATCCGCAACGCTCTGATATGGATTGTTGGATGCGTTCGCTGCTGTCACCGAGTCGTCGCTGCTGCTGGCGTTCAAGTTAATCTCGTCAAGCGCTTCGCTCTCGTCAATACCGGACGGCTGTCCAACGGTCACCAGGGTTTTGGGCTCTGCAAAAGCATATCGAAACGAAAACCAAATGAGTTATTCTCCTAGCCTCAGTTTCCGGAAGTAAACGTAATAAACTAATCAATATGCTAATCAAAATCAACGCGGCCTCCAACTGGTCATTATCTAGTGATTAGCTATAGAGCAGAGTATAGCGAAGCAGCACAGTTAATTTCAGTTGATCTATGATCGAATAAAGTATCGCATTTTTAATCTATTTCTTTTTCTTATACTCATTCACGAACATAAAATGAGTATATTGTTTACTATTCATTTTAGGCAATACTTTATTTTATTTTCTTATTTTCGTTTCGCAGTAATTATCAATAAAAATATATGTTTCATATATTTTATGGAATCGAGTAAAACTATAAAAGGAATAACTTTGTTTTAAATAAACATATATATCCTGCATATTTTTTTGGGGTGAATTTTTAACGATAACAACTTGTTACAACAACAACAAGTTACAAAACATGTTCATTCAAAATCATGTCATCTTATTTCTTTTTCTTTTATTAAACATTTTTACAACTTTAAATATTTTTACATAACTTGAAGAGCTAGACATACAAACTCCAACACGTTACAAACGATTTTCATTAAAAATTTATTCTTCTTGCTTTTTCAAAACACAATCCACACTTCTAATCAAATTATAATCATTATTATTTTTTGGCGATCTTCATTGCTCAATTATATGATATCAAATATTTATGCGCTTGCGCCCGTCCAAGCTTCATAAAAAGCCAAAAATTGGCATTAGGCAAGCTCAAATGTCATGACATTTGAAGAAGTTGTTAGCTTTAGCTGTTATTTCTTTATTTATTTACGTATTCCTATCATCTTTGAGTGTGTATATGTGTGTGTGTGTGTGTTAGTTAGTCGTTGGGCTGAAAGAAAGTTAGTGCAAATGCAGATGCAGTTGACGCTGAGGCTGAGGCTCTGGCTAAGGCTGACTGAGACTGAGGGCTTAAAGCTGTTGAGCGATGCCATGGCAAACGTGCCATTTGGCTGGCTGAGCGTCGGTAGTAAGAATTCACCTCGATCTTAAAACGTGATTCGAACTGTGGACTGTGTGGCTGTGTGCCGGCCTTTGGTTCGCTTTTTTCTGTTTTTAACACCTTGTTGTAGCCGCTGTAACCAGTGTTCAAGTATTCCAAGCATTGCAATTTGAAATCGTAAATATTTATGCTCGCGTTTGGCATATTTGCGAGCACTCGACAGCTGCAGCAACAGCGATAAAAGCTAGCCAGAGCAGTGAGATCAGCTTAGAGCAGCTCATTTCTAACAGTTAGATAGATAGAGCTCTTAGAATTTATCAGGTGTCCGGCATCAGTGTGTGTGATTGTTGCATAACTGTGATTAGTTCTAGCTGGCAGCTAGCGATAGAGCAGGTACTTGATATAACGACCCAGTTAATCTCAATTGTCACGAATGGCTGTATATCTGTTTGCTCTGAATCATCTTTATGCTTTACAATTTAAATACGGGCAATTTGAGTATTTAGCAACACTGTACTTATGCGTAACAGGCGTTGTAATTATCGATATGTCCCTAAGCTTTACATTCGAAGGGAAAATGTCGTAAGGGAAATTTTTCTCATAAGGAAAAGTACGATAGTTAATTAAGTCTTAATTAAGTATTGTAATATTTTAATCGATAACATTTAATTTTCTGATGAGCTGCAAATGCAGCTGAAGTAATTGCAAGACTTGATAGCGATAGATTATAACAAGTTTACATAACAGAAATTAAGTTGGAATATGCATATTAAGAAATTAAGTAGGAATATGCATATTAAGCGAAGAATCATTAATAAAACTTGATGGAATTGATAAGCAATTAGCTACAGATATTATAAATATAAATAGCGACAAACTTACAAATAAACCTACTGAGAAAGACTTTTAGGATAGGAAATAAATGAATTTGTACAGTAATAAATATTGGATAACTATTTATCAGATTTTTCCTTGACATTAATGGGCAAAAAAACTCGAGAAACTATTTGTCAAAACCAGCAAAATAGTTATAATTATTTATTCTACACGTATTTTAATATGTCATTTCAGAAAATAAAAAGTACCGGAAAACCATTCAGAGATAATAAAACAAAAACATTTGTTGTTCTCCAGTTAACTTGAGGTATTATGCCATATTTTCCATATAGTATATAGATTTCAATTCACTTGACTTTGTCGCTTTTCTGCGTTGGCGTCTCATAGTTTGTTTTTTTGTTTTTTTTTGTAAGGCGTCAGCCAATTGTTTGACTAATGTAACTCCATAAGCCGACCAAAGCAAACAAATACAAAAAACAACAATGAAAACAAAACCATCGACAGCAAACAACTTTAAACAAATTTTTAGCTATAGACCGTATTGGAAAACGATTTGTAAGGGGGACGTACGGCTTAAAAGTCATTAAATAACAGCAAAAATTTCCAGTTTTGTCTTGAAATGTTTTTTTTCTTCCTCTTTTTTGTTGTAGTTTTTTTCATTTACCTATTTTTTTTTATGTATATATATACATATATATATATATATTTTTTTTTAAATATTTACAAAAGGCCGACAATGACAATGACGCATTTTTGACAAATTGTTAAAGCAAATATATGTGTCTATATACGTATGTATATGTGCGATTGTCTAACCGCAAAGTCTAGGCACATATGAAAAGTAGAACAGCAGAGCTCAAATAAGGTCCGAACCGCACATTAGGCATAAAAAAAAACTAAAAAGAAATGAAGAGGAATTCGCTTTGGCATGACATCATAACGATCATAAACGAATCGAGCCAGCATAAGCACTTAAGACAAGCAAAAAAAAAAAAAAAAAAAGAGTAAAAAAAAACCAGTCGCTGTCGTCTGCTCCAAGTGCCTGCACATAATAGCACTCAAATAAAACAATTAAGGCACACATAAGCACGTCAAGAGACGATGAAATCATTTGCAGGATACACACACATACTTACACTCTGCACAACCAATAAAGATGCCCCGAAAAGATTGCCAGCAATTTGGGTTTAAGGCTCGTGCAGGTCGCATGCCAAAAATTGAGGGATCCAACACAAAAATGTATAAGAAATGTTGAAAAGCAAAAAGAAAAGAAACGAAACGAAGAAAACAAAATAAATAAATAAACACCAGCTTTGGCATTTTTGGCATTGAACCCTCCGGCAACGAAATGCCCAAAAAACAAGAGCGAAATGAAATCAAAATAAAACTCAAAAACTCAATAAAAATGCGTGCTTGGAGCTGCTTGGAGACGCTGCTGTGCGATGCTCGAGACGACGGTTTGTCTGCCAGCGGCAAAACGATGATATAAATAAAATGCACGATTTTTCTATAACCATCACAACAAGAGCCCAAAAACAACCAACAAAACACTAGAAGATGCCAAAGAAGACGAAAAAGAAGATGAAAATGTTCAACATTTTTTGTTTGTTTTTATTTTGTTTTCCTAATGTTGTCGAAGCCATTTATACACTTGGCTTCTTCTCTGCAGAACATTTTGTAAAGGCCAAAAAAATAATGTCGATTAGTGAGATATAATTGCGGCTAATATATGTAAAATGTTAGAGCTTTAATATTTAGGTTTTTTCATAGAGCTGATGTATAATTAAGTAAAAATAGTTTTCGATTTAATTGCTAAGAATTATTTTTAAATGCGCTGAACCAGTTTGAGCTAGATATAATGCTTTCTGTACAGATTTCATGTCCATACAAAACAAAAACTATGAGCTCAGCTGTAGCGGCTGGTACAAGGGATAAACCTCGAGTTCTGGACTATGACTGAATCATGGACTTATTCTAATTATATTACAGCCGAGTCCCGATAACTATAAATGGTATGAGGAGCAATTTTGTTTTCTCGATTTACATAGAAATTCAAACTATCGAGAATTATCTAGAACGAACTTGTTACAAATTATCAAGACTCGACTGTATTATCAAATATGTCATATCGTATACTGAACCAATAGAGTTCCTTCCGTTACCATTGGAATTTCTTCTTTCTTCTTTTTGAACCATAGGCACGCCGAATTACTACAAATTTCTATAACACTTACTCAAATAAATTCCTACAAATATTTTCCTTTCCGAAAACCAGGGCTCTGTCACATTGCTATGCCCCCAATCCGCTATTCTACAATTAATTTGAACTTTAACCACATTGCGAATTCGAATGATTGGAGAGTTACTTCACAGCACATTCCATGCCCGACAAGCGTCGTAAACTGGCAGTCATGCCCCTAATCCAAGAGGCAAGCACAAAAACAAAAGACTTAGAGAACGAACTCAGGTAGCTGAAAATTCAAGTGAAATGCTTTTTTTTTTTATTTTAAGGCTTCATGCCTGTTAAACTCTGTCAGCTGGGTAATTCCCTTAAAAATATGTCTAGTTCCACCCCAGCCCAAGAGCCGCACGCACACATACACACCCAGTTTTAAGTCTCTCAGAGTCAGCGGCCTTGTGACGCATTTCGGGCAACTGCCTGGTAATTCCATTATAGATTCTTAGCAATATAATCTTATCAATAAGGTGCGCTCTGTTTGCAGCGTATTATGCCTATGTCCGCTTGCAACCAATTGCTAAATATTTAAACAATTTATGAGACACGCTCAAATTTAAGCACACACACACACACACACTTACGCACACATACACATGTCCATACAATTGCACAACTATAAGTCAAGTTGATGAGCTGCGACTACAAAAGGGCGTGTAATTAGGAAACGTTGTTTTAGTATCGTTACGATCGTTAGCTCGTACAGCAGTATTCAAGAATATATATAATATATAAATTGTATTCACCCACGTAAGGATATATAGATGGACATATATATTATACTATATAAAAACGCGACATATACGAAAAGTGTGAAACGCATATTGGGCATCGAATGCAACAAGTTGGTAAATTTTTTGATTGATTAGCATCTACCAAACAACAACAAATTAAGAAAAATAATGGAAATTTGACTTTATAAGTGTGTTTCAATCAAATCGCTCGATCGATCATCACAAATTTAGCGTTAATCAAATAAATTAATACATATTGCGAGTGTACTATATAGATTCACGAAACGATTGCCAAACATTTAATGTCAATCAGTATATTTGGGTTTTTACATTTTACTTCCTTTAAATAAAAACAACACAATATTGTGAAAATAAAATGCAATAACAATACCAAAAAAATTTCAACATTTTTAACGAAAGCGCAAAATGCATGAAAATTGCGTGAGGCAAATAAATTCTCAACGCAAAATGTGCAATAAATAAATTTATTATAAAAACAAACAAAATATATATATAAAATGTACATATACAAAAAATTTAAAATTAAAAAAATAAATGAATAATAGAGCGTGAAATTGTGAATAAAGCTGAAATTCATAACGTTATATAAAAACGAATCATATCAAAGGAGTGGGTAAGAGATTCCAGTTATACGTCGAATTCATTCAAGATTTGCAGCTTTCTTTAATGATGTGGTTTTATTTTTGTATTTTATATATATATATATTTATATTATATGTGTATTTTACGTTTTCAATCTATAAAATGCTGAGATGTTGAAATACAAACGAATTTGCTATATATAATTGAATTTGTTTTCAATAGTATTTAAATAGATACTTTCCTGAATTAATTTTTAAATATATATGTATATGATGGTCATAAATATATATGTATTTATACAAGCATGTCACAAACTAAGTGTTGCAATACAAAATTCAACGAACCACAGAAAAAGAAAACATTTTCAAAGACGCAACCAACTACTTCAGGCACATTGAGGAAGTTTTGAGGAACGCACGTAGGACATAGCGCGTACACGTTTTTTTTTTTTTTTTTTGTGAAGAAAAACACAAAAAAAAAAAAAAAAATTTAAGCAAAAACTACAACAACAATAATACCGGCTAATATTTTGCTCAACAAGTAGATGAGATGGACGCATAATTTGCTGTTGTCATAAAAAGCGACAACTTCATTGAAAAAGCGCGAGCACGAAAAAAATTAAAATAAATAATAATAAAAAGGCTAAGTAAAAAGTATAATAAAAAAATAAGAGAACACTCATTACGAATCTTCAAGTCGCAGATTTAATACACTTGCTAAATATGGTAGTGATTTTTGTTAACTAACAAATAAGAATAGAAATAGTTAAAAAAGATATATTTTTTGACATAGGATTTTGTGAGAGGGAGAAAGACAGAGTGGGAGAGAAAAAGACTGAGAGAAAAACAAGCTGGGAGCAGTGAGATGCGCTAGAGAAAGCAGAAATAGAGAGAGAAACAAGGTGTATTTAGAGTGAAGTCTGAGAGAGGGAGTGAAATACCGAGGGAATACAGCGACAGAAGAGAAGGAGGGAGACAGAGATGAAGAGGGGAGAAAGACAGAAAGTTTGAGAATATGCAGAGATTATATATATAATATATGAGAAGGAATGAAAGTGTAGGAAAACAAAAGCGACAGACCGAGAAGGCAACTGTCATGGTACAAACATATAAAATATATTTTTAATAATAAGATAATATATTTACTTGCAATTAATGGAATGATGGAATACGTGCGATTTCATATAAAGCCAACTGGCTAAATGCTTGCAGGCATCGCAATAGATAAGATGCTCTCTCAGCGTATATCTATGGCGTATGTCATATGATATACGTATATCAAATTCTCATATTACACCAAACAGAGACATGTACAAAAAAAAAAAAAAAAAAAAAAAAAAAAAATTGTATAGAAATTCCTTCAAATTTTGCACGAAAGTTGGAAAAAAAAAACACACACAAAACAAATGCCGCGTTTTGGCTTTTATAGTTTTTGTTGTTGTTGTTCTAGTTGGAAACGAGTTGAGAAAATGTCTCGTAAAAATACAAAAGAATATAAATATTTAGCGTGTAGAATTTCTCGTTGGCTGTTGCTGAACATTCTGCAAACGCTTTAGTTTTAAGTGCAACATTGAAAGAACCTTGAGACGCCAACACAATAAACAAGCCACAAAGCGATTTCATCGTAAAGAAATTCTTAACGACAAAGAAAGCTAAATTCCACTTAACTTTTAATTTTCTTCATCTACTTTATTTTACATATATATTTTGTTTTGGGCCCGAACTGGAATACTTTAGTCATAGGATTTCGATCATTCCGTTTAGTGTATGTCCAAAACAGTTCCGTGTTTATTTATTAAGTTTTAGTACGTTTTTTTTTTTTCATTTGTATTGATAGACAAATCGAACGTAGCCGGCTCTACATGGGAGGCATGTTTATGAGTTTTATGAGGCAGACAGAGCAAGCATATTAAATGCGATACACGCTCCATTTTAACGCGGCGCCTGGGTAGACGAACTTCCTTCTACAGAGTGTGACAGACCTCAGTTCGCCTTGCACATTATTATAATTTACTATATATATATATTTATCTTCTTTTTTTTTTTGCATGAATTTTGATGACTTTTGTTAAGCATACATAGGCATATACATTTATATATTTATATTTTATTTTTAATGCGCTTAATGACAGCAACAAATAAAAAGGTCAACGTGCAAAGAACTTTGTTGCAAAATAAATAAATATTAAATGTAGTTTAGCTTGGATTTGAGAAAAAATCATTTTAGAAATAAATATCAATAGATAAGATTTTACCAGTCTAAATTTATATTAAACAAATATGTAATATGTATAAAAATGAAAAGAAATGCGAATTTTAATTTATAATTAATATTATATTCAAGATTTTTTATCTTTTACGCACTATTCGTTCAATGTACATATATTAACGAATGGTACCCGAAAATCATATACAGATAATTCTTTGAGTTAATGAAAGTAAATATTCCTCTTTGTATAACTAATGCAATAGTATTGTATATGTATATTAAATATTTTCCTCTGCCCATTAGTCAAAAGCAACAGCAACTAAGATGATATATATATCTTTTCAGAAATTTATCAAATGATGTTATGGGTATCTAAACAGTCAATCTACGTCAACTGTACAATATTCTGACGTTTGTCATCTTTTCTAAGCACTAATACTACATAATCGCACATAGAGCACACATACACATACATGTACATAGCTATATCTATATGGCGCCTATTCAAATTTGGGGGCCAGCACGTTGCCACTTTATCAGCATCACGCTCTTAAGATTCCAACTAAACAGAGCGAACGAGACTGAATGCTGTTGAGGCTGCTGCTGCTGCTGCTTGTTGCTGTTGAGGCTGCTGTCAGCGTCGACGTCAGCAGCGCTGATCGAGCCAAGCTGAGTCGAGCTGAAACTGAACAGCGATCGTGGTGCTGAGTTGGTGTTGGTTTTGGTTTGGTTTGTTCGTTCGTTCGTTGGTCGCTGTTTTCTGTGTCTGCTTTCAGTTTCATTTGAGACGTCGTCGCGGCCGCAAGTGCTAAAAGCAGCTCAACAATAACAACACCAACAACACGCAACGTGTGTGTCTCAACTAAATGAACATAAAATCAACGCAAGCAGCAAGAAGCAAAAAATAAAAACAAAAACAACAACAACAAATTTAAACGGGTTAATCAATATACGAGCAACAGCACGCTGAATTTTGAGTTTTTTCTGTGTGCGTGAGTTTCGTCTGTCTTTTTGTACTAAAGTGCAAGTGATTGTTTTTTATTTATTGTTATTATTATTATTATTATTGTTGGCATTGTGCTTTGCATAAGCCCTGGCAATTCATAAACAATGCAAAGAAGTGCGCAAAATGCATAAATAAAGTGCATTCGTTTAACATATTGATTGAACAACAACAAAAATCTCAATCGTCGCATAACTTATAAAGTGCGGCCGCTAAACAAGTTCGTTGCCTAAGTCATTTGTTTGCCAGCGCCAACTATCCATACTTTCAAAAAAGAAGAAAAGAAAAAAAAAAAAACAAAACTTAATTATTTATAATACTCGCAATTTATTGCTAATATATGCAATTTGGACCGTCCGGCCAGCCACGTCGTCAGCAAGAAGTCGCATAAAAGGCAAGTGTGAGGCGCACAACAGCAACAAGAGCAAAAGCTAACAAAAAGAATCTTTTCGAAATGTCAAAAGTCAAATAAAAGAAGAACACAAATTTATGCATATCTAAAAAATGTTCTTTATAAATCACAAACGAATTAATAAAACAAAAAAGTTGTACAAAATAAATTGATAAAAAAAAAAAAAAAAAAAAAAAACCAACAATCAAAACGAATCACTTACGAAATTACTGCAATTTCAATGTCAAGAAAAATCAACAATAAAACAACAGCAACAACAACATCTGCTGCTGCTGTTGCTCGACGGCGCGTGGGTTCTTCCAAAAGGGTTTGAAAACAAATGCCAGAGACCGATTGTATCTTATGATTGCAATTGCAATTTTGTTGTTATTTGCGTTTCTAAAGCAAACACAATTTTCTAGAAAGCAAACAACGAACTGCAGGTTCTCTCTCTCCCTCCTACTCTGTGTGTGTGTGTGTGTGTGTAAAGTGCTAAACTAGGTTGATACCCTGGCTCTACAGTGTAGCTGTGTAGTTGTTCTTGCTTCAATTTCATATAGTTGATTATTAAATTATATTTAGTTGATGGCATTCTCTGCACTCAGATTTCGCTCATTTTCATTAAACATTTGGATATGATAATTTTTGCCTTTCAGATTTTTGTTGTAATAGAAAGTGAAGTTAAGAATAGATTATTTCTGGTTTTGCCATTGTAAACGGGTTTAGGGCATAAATAGTTAGTGAATTTTAATTCATTAAAAGACTAATAAATAATACAAGAATTTTAAAGGTTCCTTAAATTACATTAGAACATCAGAGTATGTGAAAAAAATAGAGCTATTTTCAGACCAGGATCTGGAATTACTATATTTTACTATGAAATGTAAATTTCTCTACACAATTCGTCTTCTTTTAAGAACTCATCTCTCAATAATATTGTTTCTTTACATAAAATATCAATATATATTTATTATATAATATATATAATGTAATACACAAAAGCTGAATTATTTATCTGCATAATTTACATCACCAGCCGGATTTAGGTATATCTCAATTTAGGTTTCTAGCCGCTCAGTTATCTCAGCAAAATCACAAACTACCATCCTCAATTAAATAAGTATTAGATAGTTATGCATTCCTCAGACAGTATCACAAGTTTTCTACTTATTTTCAATTAACATTTCTTGAATGCAAAATTCTAGAAACAAAACGTCCACATTCCATAATCAATTTCTTTGCCAAAAACTTCAAAGTAAACGAGCTATTGGCCGCTGTTGTTACGCTTAGGGTATATCAAATACGAAATAAAGCGAAAAGTGTGCAAAAACGCAATTTGAATTTATAATTTTTGCAATTATTTTTCATTAATTTGCTGGGCAATAAAAAAAGTCATAGCATATCTCAAATGCTTACGCGCTATTTGAATTACATCCGTCCCGCCTCAGTCCGCCCCTTTAGCCCACACCTGCTCACATCAGAGGGAACTCGAATAATTGCGCGTTTCTAATTTGTTTATAGAATTTTAAATAATAATAATAAAAATAATAAGTATCAGCTGCTGCTGCTGCTGATTGATGAACTGACGTATTTGGCTTTGATTTTGTAATTTGCTGTTCCCTGTTGTCTTTCGTTAATTAAAAAAAATAAATTGCCTATAAATAATAATAAACAAATTACAGTCTGAGCTAACACTTCAGTTCAGTTCAGTTTAGTTCGGTTCAGTTCAACTACGAATCGTTTTCTGCTCAGTTCTCGCAGAATTCACAATCTCACGTCAGCTGCAATCGAAAAGTGAAATATGTACTTCACGCTCGCCCACCTCTATCTCCCTCTCTCGCTCTCTCTCACTCTTCAGCTCTGATTGATGTAAGAGTTAAGATCTTGATGATGTTGACGCTGTTGTTGATTAAAATAAGCACGTCTCATTCGAACGATACAAAGATTTGAATGCCTTTAATGATGGCACGTAAATAAATATAATATATGTATATACAAATTTATAACTATTATATATTTTGCATATCATTGCCTTAGATCTTAGATACATATAGTTTTGCAATTTTAACTGACTCAACTTATCTGAGAGCATTTAGAAAGCGTTCTAATCAGCAGGGCACGCAAATTGATTGTCGTTTAATATTTATCTTATCAGCAAAAGAATTCCCTAGGCTTAAATTTTATATTATATTTTGATATAGACCTGATAATGCAACCGGGAGGTTTTCGAAAGAGCTCAATCTACAACCTACTGACATTTTGACGTAAAAGCTTGTTCTTTTGTCGCTAGGACAGAAACTGTCTTATCTCAAGCATGCTTATAGACTCAAAAATATATACATATACATAAATAATAATAGCAAATAATGAGACTATGAATAAAAAGTTGACGCAGCTTAAAACTAAATAGGGCATCTCTGCTTTCTGCTATATCTTATGAACCCAATGGGATACTGCTAATAATATAGAAATAATACAATATATTTTTACCTGTTTACTAGTATTAATTAATTTTTGCATGTTAGTATTTATTTAAAAAAAAAATTTAATAGTTATAAGACTTCGACTCATCAATCACATCCTCGAGCTATATCAAATTGAATGTAATTGAATTGAATTACTGTTCAAGTTCATTGTCATCATCATCTTATTGTCTCATCTTCTCAAATAACTGCAGATATAAAATTGAATAGCATTTTCTTTACATCATTTTTATGAATAAATAAATATGTAAAGTACAATATTTAGTGATTATGTCAAAAATCATTATTCTTGGCCTTGGATAATATATTCATTTGCAAACCTGATAAATAGGCAAGGAAATAGTATTATAATTTTGACAAGTGGCAGGATGAATTGCATGACTGATGATTTGCAATGTTAGCAACTGTGTTTAACCTTTAGAGAGTCTATACAGTATATATATACATATATAGCATACACACTATATATGTATTTTTATATATAATCCAATACTACGTGCCTTTATCACTTCGCCGGGAAGCTTTTGCCATAGTTTCATGAATGAAAGCTGAACATCTCCGATAAGGTCAATAATCAGAGGATTGACAAATCGAACGTGTTATTCGGCTGCATTCCGCATTTATCGTTCATTGAAGGCGGAACTGCATATCATTTTAAATGCGTACGCTAAGAGGAATTTAAGTTCTCATTTCGTATAGGGGATTTGATGTCAGGGTAAGAGAACCAGCAGCAGCAGCATCAGCAGCAGCAGCTCAATTCTGCCTCTCTTCTATGAACGAACGAACCGGCTTTATGAAATGCGCATTGACCTTGCAACGCCTGAAAAATGTACAAATCAATTTTCGATTTAAAAAAAAATATATATTAAAAAAGGCGTTGTGAGCAGCTGCCAAAAAAAGATATCGAAAAACGAGAAAATCGAACGCAGAATATTTTAACTTAATTTATTTCCACATGTTCGTTGTTGTTGTTATTCACGCATATAAAAAACGTTTCAGTTTTAGGGGTTTTATATACATATATATATATATTTAAATATTTCTTCTTTTTTTTATGATTTTATTGTATTTTTTGCATGTCGTTAATTAATGACAGCTGTTCGCTTGAGTTGACCACGTTGTTGCACACATCACGAGCCACACGGAGAGCCAAAGCGAAGCCAAAAAATCAATCATTCAAATTGATTTGTTGCTAATTTGTTATTCAAACAAGACGACGCTCTTCAGCTCGAAACCAATAAGCGCAAAATGCATTCATCCACAAAATAAAAGTAAATAAAAGCATATATAATATATATATGTATATATATTGTATATACATATATATCCATGTATTTGTCTTCTATATTTATTGTTTGCATGACGCGAAATCCAAGTGCTAATTGCCGTTAGTTAATTAAATGTTAAAAGTTGATCAAATTGACCGAAACAGCACTTGCGTAGGCATATTCGCAATATGGAAGAAAAAGAGAGCGAATAGCAAATACCCTTTCTTTTAGTTTTAAGGCAAACAACGTTTAACAAGAAATTCGATTAGTAAATAACTATAAATTAATTTAATTAAAGTCTTCCAGAGGCAGAGAGTAAGAATCTTCTAATAAAAGAACTTCTTTGAAATCAAAATATATTTAATCCAGACTCTATAATTATATTAAATATTCATTACTTACTAAGAAGAATATGTTCTAATATATTATATAAAATATATCTATTATATCTATTACAGAATATCTGAACACCTTCAACGAGTTGTCTAGCATAAACAGCCGTCAATCATTTACAACTTTTACAGGGTACCTAAGCCCATTGAAAACGTCAGATTTAATCAAGCTCAGGCATCAGTTTTATTTAGCTATTAGTTGTTTTTTACCGATGGCTTGATGGAGTCCAATAAAAACATGTCTTCATAAACTGATAGTCGATGTTGTTGTTGTTGTTGCATTTGTGCGTCTCACTCTTTAATCATTTGCTAATGTCAACGGCTTAAGCGCCGCCTGCTCTTCGTTTTCCGCAGCTGCAGCAGGTTTCGATAAAACTTTAAAACAAATAATAAATATAAACAAAAACCTTGACCATATAGTTGATTTGTTTGATTTTTTTCCTTCCATTTTACAATCAATTTATTCAAGTTTCTAATGCGCTACTCAATTCAATCACGAGTTGTTTGGCTTTTGTTGTTATTAATTTATATTTTTGGCAAAACGAAAACTTTTCTCCTTCTATAAAAATTGCCTATGTACAGTTATTTTAATTTAATTTAATTTAATTTTTTTCTTGTCTACCCATCAGTTTTTTTTTTTTTCTTTGAGCTATTGTTAAAACACATTTTATTGCTCGTTGGCTTTTAATGTTTTACATTGACTCGTGTTCATGAACATGACTTTTGGAAAATATTTCTCTTGGCGTTCATCAAGTTTCAGATTGAAAAATGCGTGATCAGCGTAAATTGTTGTTATTTTACTTTATATTTGGTTACTTATAACTAGCTTTTAATAGCAGCCGCAGCAAATTGTTAAATAATTGTTGGCTAAATACAAAAAAAAAAAAATGATATTTCAAAGAGTGGAGATGCAGAAAATTGTTTATTTGTAGCGAATTATATTTCTAAGGTGATGTTATTAAAGTAAAATATTGCTATTGTTTTGTTATTGGTATAAAAGTTATTATATATGTATATAGATCTGCAAATGGAAATAAATAATGACTTATAAATGCCAAATTTAATAAAGTCAAAGACATATATATATATATATATATTCGATATCTATAGGATATCAGGTATCTATATGATTGCATATGGCTTTAATAAATTCTTATATGTTTGTAGGTACATGCGTCAGTATCCAATAAATTAGAATTATATATATTTATAGTTTTTGTTGATTATTTTTGTTATAAATATATTTTATATATACTTATATAAAATATTTTACATATAATAATGACAGTATTTAAACGATAAGCGATAACCGATGACTGATATTCGATAATAAATGATCAAAAATAAATACATTTATAATTTTTCCCTGCCTTTACTCTAAAGCAACAAATAATTTCCTTAGTTTCCATTTCAAGCTCTATAAATAGTATTATTGTGCTTTGTTATTTTTGGTTAATCTTTACTCTACCCACTCTTTTTCGACCTCTCAATTCTCTATCTCCCTCTCTAATTAGAATCAACAAACTTTAAAGCTGCGTATATATTTTTCCCCTTTCCATAAATAACGATAATTAAATTGAAAATATTTGTTAATAACAGAATAATAGGATAATTGTAAGCGCATTTCACTTTTTCGCATTGCGAAAGTGTCGAAACTAACGAAAACAACGGCAATTTAACAATGATAAATTTTAATAATAATAATAATGATGGCGCATAATTGCGTCAATTTACTGAGCGTCAATCAATCAAGAGTCGCATTTGGTAGCTTTCAAAAAAATGTTTGATTTATGACATTTCTTATTGTGCATTTTTGTTGTAGATTTTCGAATTGGATGCTGATCGAGTCACCGGAGATAACGAACAGAAGACTTAACTAAATATCAAAACCCAAACACAATCCATTGCAATGATACTGCGAACGAGTAGAATTTGCCTGCTGGGCGTTTGGCTGCTCACGATGCTGACCCTGCTGCAGGCCCAGGGCGAAGATTATGGCGGCGATGTGGGAGACGCTGATGTTGGCAGCAGTGATGACATCTATGAGCCGGCAGAGCAGGAGGCCGATCTCGAGGCGGAAACACAGCAGCGACGCAATAGCATTGAGGCCGAAGAAAGCGCCCTGCCCGCACAGACGGTCAATGAGCTGCAGTCCATGGAGCAGCCATCGACCACGGACAAGGTGCCGGCGGTTGTCACCGAGATGCCAGTGCCCACCGCTGCATCGGCCACCACAGAGTACGATGAGAATACGGCTGCCGAAGTTATGGAAGATGCGCCCACACAGAAGCAGGAGACGAAAGTCGAGAAGCCGGCCAGGCATTCGCAGGAGTACTACTATGAAGATATGCAGGATCAGGAGCAGGACGCCGAACAGCAGCCGAAAAAGCAGCACAAAGAGCCACAGGAGGAGGCGACCACAGCCACAACGACAACAGTGCCCGAATATGTGCGCAAGGCAAAGGCGGAGAGATTTCCTCAAACGGAGCCCGACTATGCCGAAGATGATATGATGGTGGAGCAGCAAACGCAGCCCATTAACACACCTAAGGATCAGGCAGAGGGCGTCATCTATCGGGATGAGCCGGCACAGCCCCAAGCTCACATGCAACAGCTGCCCGTGAGCCACAAAGCCAAGCCGTTCAATCCCAGTTCCGTGGAGTACTATTACGATGAGCTGGACAGCACGGAGCATCGCATCACGACCACAGTTCAGAGCACACCAACAACAACAACAGGCCCAACGAAAACAACCGAGACACCACTGCCAGTGCTGGCGGCACGTTTCGGTGGTTTCGTCGGTTTCGGTGGTTGGCCCGAGCCAATGCCCAGTGCCGTACCAACTAATGCACCGCCAGTCGCCAATCCCAGCCCAACCACAACAACAACAAAAACAATAGCCACAACGACGACAACACCAACACCAACAACATCTGCGCCTCGCAAGCAATCGAAGCACATACATCTGGCCAAGCCGGAACTGCTGCCCGCCGATCAGCTGCGCAATTATATTAAGGATGTCTACATACGCATGCCGCTGGCGGTTATAGTGGATCCATCGCCAGAATCGCTGGACCAGACCAAGCGGCTGTACATGGATGCGTTGCAGGACAAGAATATCAATATTAAAATCGTGCTTGTCACGCTGAATGCCTCAGGTATGTGACTTGAAAAGCTTATCGATAAAAGTGTATATCGATAATTTTAGTTGAGATAGCGGACGATGTTCATATGAAGAATATGAATGGTAGAAATTGAAGGGTTATAGAAAATATATTGATTTGGAAATTATATAACGATAACGGAGTGAAAGATAGACTAAAACTAGTAAATGTTATGCTTGATAATTATTAGATAATATATTGATAAATCTTTTAAGTGTATAGGTATTATAATTTTCTGAGATATCCAATTATTTATGTTTTTTTAAGGCAATGTAAAATATATTCTAACTTGCTACCAATATAAATTGGATTGTTTTAGGTGTGCCCTCCGCTTTCAGTTTCAACAATACGCGAGAGTTCATCGCGGGCCTGAACAGCACCAAAGAGCTTGAAGGCGGCAATGCGTTTGTGGGCGTGCTACAGGCCGCCGAACTGGTGCCCTACGACAGCGCCATATTCATATCGACAGCTGCCATACCGCCGCACACGGACATTGTGCAGGATGCGGCAATCACATTGCTCAAGAAACGCATACGCGTGAGTAAATTGAATCTTAAAGAGAGTTACTTAAGACATGAATAACTGTCATTAATCTTTGTAGTTGTTTATGCTGTGGTACGGTGAGCGATCGGCCAATGAGAACGAGACGGAAGATGCCGTGGGCGGCATTTTGGGCGAGGTGGCCATACGATCGGGCGGCGAAATAATTCACATTGTGAGCACCGAGCATGGACAGCATATCGCGGGCAATACGGTAAAGAGCACAAATGATCGTACGAGTGTAATTAGTGTAATTAAAATTATGATGGAGCTCAGCAAACAGACAGCAGCCAGTAGCCAGCAGCTAGTAGCTCGGCCTGCTGCCAAGTGTTGAAATTGAAAGTGGCGACAACAACAACAACAACAACAACAGCGGCAGCAACAAGTGTTGCCCAAGCAACCAAGTGAGACGCAAATAGCAGCTTGGATTACCTTTCAGACAGGTGCTCAAGAGCACGACGACGCGATTTGCGGCTGCTGTAGTTGTTGTTGTTCGTTAGCTGTTTGTTGTGTTGATGATGTTGCATCTTTGTGCAAAACTAGGTTATGGAAAGAAAAGTGAAGGGCAAATTTGTTTATAGAAAGGAAACTAGACATTCCCAAAGCAACAACAACTAGATAAATGCTTTAACCAGTTCTCTCTCTCTATCTCTTTCCTTCTCTTTCTCTTTCTCTCTAATGTCTAATTGCAGTTAACGCTCGCGTCGGATGCGTATCAAGGCAGCCAGGAGCTGGAGCTACCTGTTGATACGACGCTATCCAGTTTACATGTGCGAATCGATGCCAACATGCGACGTGCCACACTGGCAACGCCCAATGGTGGTTAGTTCAGCCAATAAACCCAAACCCAAACCCAAACACACAAACACTCACACACACATCACACAATCTATTGCTATCTCACTCTTTTAGTACTAACAAAGTAGTTGGACTTGAAGCAGCAGCAAAACAAAAACAAAAACAGGGTTGTACTTCATACTAATAGTGTTGTAAAAGTTCAGCGTGTACGGGTTCAACAATAAGGGATCTTCAATTGCGTGGCACATGCGTAAATGGCTGCGTCTAGGCTAGCATCGATTTAAGTTGATTTGTAGCTAACTATATATATAAATATGTATATCTATGTATGTATGTATTTCTATATACTATATATGTTAATTTAACCCATTTACAAACACGCCCTATTTCTATCTCAATATCTATATTTCCTTACTAAAAAGCCAGTGTTGTAAAATGTCTCAAGAGTCAACTGTACTTATTTATATGTGCTTAGCTTTAAGTTTTATTTTTTAACTAACCGCCTACCCTACCCTACCCAATCCACTTCTATTCCAACATGTATTTCCTCTGTTTTTTATGTATATATATATATACAAAAAAAAAAAAAGAAAAAACGAAATCCTCCTCCAATGCTTTCCTTAACCATAACGCTAGATTAATGCTAAATACTTTACATTAACATGTAGTACAAAAGAATTTCTTCAAATATTATATACAGTCGCAGATATATGTTTATGTTTATGAGAGTAATAAATGTTTAGCTTTAAGGGTCTACAATAAAAAAAGACACACACAAATAACTTTGCAGTAACTGAAAAAAAAAAACAATAAACTTGCGGCGTACTTTTAACTTTAGCTTCCACACCGACCCCAGCACAAGTTTAACTACAACAATTTGCACTTGCCGATCGTTGTCTATGTTTGTTTGTCCCAAGCGTAAGTATACAAAATATTCGTATATTTTTTTATGTCCTTATGTCTTGGCACGATTTAATACTTTACTAACACAACGTTCTCCCGGCTATACGCAGCACAAATTGTGAATGTTTCCTAACCACAAGTCACTTTTATTAATTTTATTTATATGATTGCTATCAAAATTGGTCTCGAATCGAACGACTTGCGTATTAATCACACAGCAACGTCTGCGTCCACATAGTCTGGGTGCAAAGTTCAAACACTCCCAAAATAGATTACGCTAATGCAACCAGACTAAAAGCAACAATGACTCAAGCACTCTCGTACTGTCTATCTCAGCACAGATTTGAATGTGAAAGGCGGCTTATCGCAATAGAAAGGCAATTAACGAAAACAAGAACAGCTCGATGTTAGCATATTAAAGATTATATAAGAGAATTCAGCTCAGTAAAAGTATTTCAAGCGAGATGAGCTCACTTACAATTTTTAAATCAGTTCAAGTTACTACAGTTTAAAGTCGTTGTGTATATCGATAGTCAATGATTAATCGATAAACTATGCTTTCTATCAGTTAAAAAATGTCTTAATATATTAAGCCCAGTTGAGCGGTTCTTACATGACTTCAATATTTATTCATTCATTGTTATTTGTTTTGCGCTTTATTAATTGTTTGCACTGTTTATTTATCACTATGAACTTTGGCATAAACACAGTTATAGAATTGCGGAAGTTATTCCGAGAGAGTGAAAGAGAGAGAGAGATAGAGAGCAGCCGATGACAGCCCACACTCCCACTCGCACACAATCACAGAAACACGCTACCACAAACACACATACAGCGCGAGCGCCGTTTTAACATTTTCCTTTTGTACAAATCAATTGAAGTTGCCTGCCACAACGTTGAATGTATTGCACATTGTATTTTTAAAACTATGAAAATGAAATAATATTTAATATAAAAATCATATTTGCATTCATATCAAACACACTCGCGCACACACACATTCATACAAACCTAACTAGTCATTTGTTTAAACTGTTGCCAAATTTTTGACGTTGCAGCATTAGTCACAATTATATAGACAAATACATACACAATTAGTCGGCTGGCATGCATTTGGCCACTGCCATGGCCAAGTTCAAAAGTGGCCTCTGACTAAAATCGAAGGCGACTTTGTTGATGATGCACACGAATTGGTAATCTTATATTACGCCGCGGGCCATGTCAGTTAAAAATTAGACTTTGTTTAAAAATGAAATGGCTCGGCTCCACACTTAACACTTCAGCGCTATTCAATTATTGATGTTTTTTGTGATTTGTTTGATTTCACAATTCGAAAAACAATCGTTTATATGTTAAATGTTTTGCAGAAGTAGTTTCCTTGCACAACAACAACAACACTACGAATAACAGCCATAACAGAGCAGCTGCTCAGCGTAGAGCTGCCATCTCAAGAGCTGTTATAGTTGTTATATACACATATTTAATAATTACATATAATGATAATAAATTACACAGCTCCCTGCATGAAATTACTGGAATTATGTGCACTCGCGTTTAGAATTTTTTAAATTAATATATATATTGATTATGTACACAATTTGCCCGCCAACAGTCTGGCAACGCTGCATGAAAAACAGCTGTTGAGCACATCGCTCACAGTGAATGGCAAAAATACACCTGTTAATTTGTTTATGTGTGCCTTACATTCCCTCTCTGTCTTCGTTTAGATATCAATTTAAAGAAACACGTCAAATTTAAATCAAGCAATGATACACGAAACACCAACCCCGATGAACTGGATGCCTACGTACCGCTTAACAAGTTGCGCAAGGCGACAATCCTAAGGCTGCAGCTGACGCCGGAATCACCAAGTGCCGCTTACAATGTTTTCATACGCGCCGAGCGTAAAGCAGATGTTTTTCTTGGTAAGTTTCAACACACTTCTAATCAATTAAAAGACAACTTGGCGAACGCGCTGGACGCATATAACTGAACAAATATAATTAAGATGCGTCGTTTTCTGAACCACGAAAAAAACATAGAAAAACAAAAATAAAAACAACAACAAGCTAACCGGTGCTCGGGGCTCGCTTGTAGAGATAACGCTGCCTGCCTGTGCTTGATAACCGTATCAACCTTGGGCGTCATTTGAGCGGAATGATTGTTGACGCCATCCAAAGAGCTGCTTTTCTGCACCAACGGCAGCAACAACAACAATCATACGTATTATCGGAATCCTGCTTCTAGAAACTACTTCCGGTCAATTCAATTACCATTTTGTTGCTCATTTACAGGTGAAATTATTAAGCGCATCGATAGCTACTATTCCCATGCTGTGCACGAGAGCCCCTTGGCTTCATTGGCGCGTTCAGCCAAGCTCAAGTTTCCCGAGTCGCGGGAAAAGCTAGAAAACGAAGTGGATTCACCCAAGAGCGAAGTGGAAACCTTCTCGGAAACGGAGCTAGTGCAGCCACCGACGAGTCTGAATCAGACTCAATTTGCCGCTGCCACGGGCGAGGCGCAGCGCGCCAGCTTGAATTCCATGTTGCTGCAACGCTGCGGCACCAAAATCGAACTCAATACTCAGTCGCAGCTGCTCCTGAATGCAGGTCAGGTCGCAACGCTGCTGTTTGAAGTGACCAATATGCGAGCGGAGCGTGTCTATCAGACGGTGCAGGTGACGGACGAACGGCGCTTCCTAGTGCAGCTAAGCCCAACTGGGTGAGTGAGCAAAGAAACTTGAGGCAGGAATATTTTTGATGCTAACTTTTTCTGTCTTCTGCAGTTTCTATTTGCGTGCGCGGGAGACGAGCACCGTGCGTCTGACCGTGCTTGCGCCAACTGGCACCTCGCCTGGCACCACAGACAGAGTCACATTCACTAGCTATGGCACTGAAACGGCCACCTTGGCGGTTAGCCTAAAGGTCGTGTCCAGCATCGATGCGCAGGTATATTGCTGAAATATATACAACTAGCCACAGTTTTATATAACATATTGATATATCTTTAGGATACGACTGGTCCCAATCTCTCCTGGGAGTTTGGCAATCGCTGCGACTATGTGAGGAGCGATGAACAAAACTGTGGCGATCGCTTCTGGACGCTGGATGTCACTGCCCAGGACTGGCAATCGGGCATATTGCGTTTGCAGTCAACGCCCGCGGATGGCCTGTTCTATCGCAATTACTATACGGCCGGCACCACGGAGCCCATGAAGGCCACCTATATGGCCTCCTGCTGCGAACCGAAGGTGGCCATAACGGCATTCGACGCGGCGGGCAATCAGCGCAGCATCAACATTGATGTTCGAGATATTGTGCTGACGGAGGCGGCCATCGCTGCCATTTGTCTGGGCGCCATTCTGTTGCTGTTGCTGATTGTATTGCTTATTTGGGGCATTATGTGGTGCTGCAAGCGGCGCAAGGTATCACTGGAGCTGCCCACGTATCGCTCGCACTCGACACGCAGTATGGAATAGATTAAGAGAGGGCGCCACTGCCAAAATATCAACAATAACTAAATATATATGTAGTGACGAACTTTAAGTGTTGCCCAATAAAAATACCGTTAACTGTTAACGCTTATCAGTCGAAATGTGAAAGATGGAAGCAACAAGTGACAATGGACTCGCTGCTCTCCCTCTGTGTTGCTCTCTCTCTCTCTCTTTCTCTCTTTGTCAAAAACTTGAACTCCACTCTCTCTCTTTTTGTCTGACACACTTACCGCGTTTGAGAATGCCAGCGATGAGAGCGTTAGCTGGCTGTGCGGGTGGTGCATGGTGCACCACAGGCGGTGCCGCTGGCAACAGGAGCGGCTTATTGGGAAAGTCATCATAGCTGAGACCCGTCACGGAGGCGCTGAGCAGTGGATTTTTAACAATTCGATTTGCATTGTTGTTGACGCGCGACGACGACGACACGTCACCTTTGGAGCGTTCGGACATGTTTACAATCGCGTTTCAGCACGGCACAGCGCTCTGATGAGACGTTTATATGTTGCGCAATGCAAACTGCGGCACAGCAACTATGCTATTTGTTCGCACAGTTGGCAGAATAGTTCAGAAAATAAGGCAGTCAAAAATTTACTTGCAACGCGCACAGTACCTACACCAGGGCTGCGGCGTTTCAGACTCGCTCGTTTAATGATTAGCCCTGGTTGTGCTCTTTCGTTCAATTTGGCGAAACGTTTACTTGTGAATGGCAAGCTTTTAATTGGCGGTTATTTCATTCTCATTTTTTATTTTCGATTTGTTTATTTTTTGTTTTATTATTATTATTATTTTTATTTCTTAGTATAGATAAAACTGATGTTGATCACAATAAAATAATTTTCCTGTGTCAATAATTGACAATTAACATTATTTTTTTGTAATCTCTCACGATAGAACAATTTAACAGTGATAACAGCTGTTAAAGTAAGCTTTTAATAGTTGTCTATTTGTTATAGAAATACTGCTGAAAGTTTTTATTATTTTTTGGAAATAGTTCTAATGCTCTATCACCAGTGTACGGTTGACTAACACAAAACCGTCATAATTTATTTCAATAGAATATTCTGATTTGCTGAGAAAGGTGTGTCAATATGTTTCTATATACATGTAAACTTAGCCGGTATTTACGTAGCCGCTCTATATAAAGTAATAGGAACTCGAAATATAAAGTGAGAGAATAACATGCGCACACATTGTCGGTGCAAATACGCGCATTAGCAATAATTTTATAAAATATGGCTGCGATGCCACTTGTTGCATTTGATTTTTCCTCAAAGCAAAAGAGCTTCTACAACAGACATGCTGTAATGTGTAATAGTAAATGTGTATGTGTGTTTTTCTCTCTGTCTCTCGCGGTCTCTGCAGGTACTGTTAAAGACTCAAAAGTGTTCTGTAGGTATATGTATGTACATATGTAAATAAATGTACATTAACAGAATAATCACTATGTACATCACGATTGAGTGATAGTAGGTTATGCAAAGCGAACAGCTGATTTGACAGCGTGACGTCATTATTTCAGAAAATGGTGGGCGCGCGTTTGAATTTGTATGAAAATCAAGCAACTTTGACACTGTTATTTGTCTTAAAACTAGTAGACTAAATAAAACGAGTTGGGCGGCTAATCACATGTTCTATATAGATTCACGAATCGGAAAATATAAAGGTTTTTGCTAATTTTTATACTCTAAATTGTTTTCTAAGCAGTTATTGATCATGCAATCCCTTGACCACTTTTACTCTTGCATATAATGGACTTAACCTTACTATCTAAGGCTTGAATTTGTAAAGCTAAGAAGTTACTACTAAGTATTATGCATTTCCCATCAATCCGCATAATCATACGTACTAATTTCATTCTTTATATTACAAATCCGATGGCCATAGATGATACGCAGCATTGTTAGCTTCTGTCTAAGTTTTAAGAGCTGATTCAGGAGGATTATGTGTTTGCTTAGGTTTCAATACTTATAATCATACAAGTTTACGACTTGGCAATTAATACACAAATATTAGTTCATTCTACCGGATGTTTCTGACATGACAGCAGGGGTGAGCAGCACCTTTATTGATGCAGCTTCAACGTGTACTATATTTAAATGTGTAGGTAAATTGGCATAAATAAACAATACTGATGGCGAAAACCCAGTTAACTATGTCCATCAACTATTCCTGCTGACTTATTGGCCATTTTTGCTGCACTCGAGAGGCCTCCCAGTTCATTCCATTATATACTTAATTTCTTTATTGTATGGTAATAAAATTAGTGATTGACCATTTTTAAGGTATTTACTATTGAAATTTTTTATATATAGTTAATTTTGGTTGTTTTCGACGACTTAGTCGATCTCTGCTGAAATGCCTTCCAAGTTTCAGCCGGGATAACATAGCGAAATCTGATAATGTGACGTCACAAGAGAGCTGTTAGTTAACATTAAAAGTAACGGGACTGCTCTTTGCGCAACCTACTGTGTCTTTTAACAGTGTATGTACATGACTTCTCCTGTTCACGTATGTATATATGTATGTATATGGAATAGATAATATACATAAGTACTATATTAATACAGGGGCTGGCTAAGTAAATAATGCGATTTGTATAGAATTATTGAGCAGCTGATTAATTAGTGATAATTTCATAAAAATGTTAATCTACTGGCAAAAGCTTTTGTATTATAGAGTATAGAATTGAACGAATACTTCAATCATTTTGCTTCTAAAGTATTGTGAACCTCAGGAAATATTTAAAACTTATAAACATATACATGTAAATAAATATATGAATATTAAGTTTTTTTTTAAAATTATTTAAATATATTTTTTAATATTATATTTATAATATTTATAATAAACATTAACTATAACTAATATACATTTGTAAATATTTTATTTTATTTTATTTTATTTTTATAATTTTTTATTTTTTTTTATATAAAAAGTCTTAAAATTTTAGCTTACAAAAACATGAATATTAAAATATTTATTATTTACCCTCTGTAAAGGGCATTCAGATAAATGCTGAAGTGCACCATTGAGCCTTATCGAAAAGTACATACTCTCACCTTCTCTTTCCATCTCCCTCTGCCCCTCTTTCTTTCTGTCCCTCTCTCTCTCTTTCTCTCCCCATAGCTGATAGCACACCTGGTATGCATTACCGGCGTCAACTTTTTCATATATAACTAACAGCAGTTCTCACTTTGAGTTCAATCGCAGGTGTTTGGACAACCGTTAAACATGTCATCGGGCAAATTGATTCGCTGGGGCATCGCATCCGCTGGCAAGATAAGCGAGGACTTTGTCATTGCGCTTAGTACGCTGCCCGCCAGCGACCACCAGGTGGTGGCTGTGGCTGCACGCGCCCAGGAGCGAGCCGCAGAGTTTGCTAAGAAGCACGGAATACCCACGGCCCTGGGCAGTTACGAGGAGCTGGCCAAGAGCAAAGATGTAGGTAGGTGTTGAGTTCCATTGAGATTTATAACTCTTGACTAATGTCCACATACGTCTAGATGTGGTCTATATTGGCGTGCTGAATCCACAGCACTATGAGGTCTCCCTGCTGATGCTGAACCATGGCAAGCATGTGCTTTGCGAGAAGCCGCTGGCCATGAACAGGAAACAGGTGGAGGGCATTCTAGCCTCTGCCAAGGCGAACAAACGCTTCTTCATGGAAGCTGTCTGGTCACGCTTCTTTCCCTCCTATCAGCATGTGCGTCAGCTCATTGACACCGGAGCTCTGGGTGAAATCAAGGATGTGCAGGTTAACTTTGGTTTTCCCTTGGCCAATGTGGATCGTTTGCAGTAAGCGGTGGCTGGACAGCTGTAATTGCTTGGAGCTAATTTGTTCTGTTCCTTGCAGAAAGCGGGAGCTGGGTGGCGGCGTCGTTTATGATCTGGGCATCTATACCATACAAGTATCGCAGTGGGCCTTCCAGGAGCCGCCGCAGAAAATCGAATCAACTGGCCACACCAATGCCGAGGGCATCGATGACGATGTCAGCGCCACGCTCACCTACAGCGGCGGGCGTACGGCACGCATGCGCATCTCATCGCGCGATAAGCTGGACAACAAGGCCATCATCAAGGGCACCAAAGGACAAGTAACGGTAAGACAATGACATTTTCTGAGAGAGCAATATACACATTGATTAGACATTTTTCACGCTGCCGTCAACTGATCGAAGCTCTGTGACGTCAGAATTCTATTTCTGTTGTGTTTCTATTTGTATATCGATTAATTGATTTCCTCGTTCCAGCTGATCGACTTCTGGACGCCAAACAAGCTGATCGACATCGATGGATCGGAGAAGGAGTGGCTGCCGCCCAAGGGCAAGCATGCGACCAACTATGCCAACTCAGAGGCCATGCGCTACGAGGCGGAGGCAGTGCGTCAATCCATACTCGCCGGCGAGCTGGAGAACAAGACTGTCAGCTATGCGGACAGCTTGCTATTTGCCCAGATCGAGGATACGATTCGGAAACAGATCGGTGTGCTTAATAAATACGATGAGCAATAAATAAGCATAATATATAATATTAAAATATATTTGTAAATACTAATAAAAAGAGAAAATAAATAATTGCAAGATTTTTTAAAGTAAAAAACGTATATTTGATTTCTTATTTCAATTCATATCAAATAAATGTATGCTATGTTAGTTAGATCTCATGACTTATCTAATCATCATCGAAAATTTTCAATTACAATCTATGCCAAGTCATTTAGTTCAGCTAAAGTACTCTAAATTATTATTTTATTTTAGTGATAAGTGGTCTACTATATGGTAAATATTCCCAGTAACCCGATTCTCCCTGGCTTTGACTTTGTTTGGGTCAAGCTATAGGCTAGCACTTGTAAATTCAGTCACGATTACAGCCTGAAATTGAATATTTATAAGTAGAATATATATAAGAGAGCTCAAAATATATATATGCTTTACTATTTATTCATATAATATATAACTGTGTATGTGAGAAATACCATATTGAAAAAATATGGTACATATACATATAATATAGAGAGACAAAACATTGTATAGACATACTATAGAAACTATAGAAACTATAGAGTTTATATGCAGTAATATATAAATTGACTTCTCTAGACTAAATATATAATGTATAAATTATATAAATCTAGAGAAGTCAGTATAAGTTTTTAGAAGTCTGCAAAAGTCAGTATTGTTTTTATACTCATACATAAAAAGTATAGTCACCAAATTTGCCTTACATTATATAGATTATATTTAATGCTTCTTATTATTTTACTCTTGCATTATAATATTAAATATATAATATAAGTTCATAAAATTGGATAACGGAACAAGTATTTCTTCAGAAATCTTAGTTTGTCCGACGCTTTAAAATGTTTGACAAACATTTAAGTTTTTTCCCGAACCATATAAATTAAACATACATGTATATCTAAGGCAATAGAAATGAAAATTATGTAAAATAATTGAGAAACATTTATAGAGCTTTAAAAACTAGTTACGGTTCAAATGTCTTGTGACCTTTAATGACCGTTAAAACTCAGAAGCAATTCATTTAGTAATACGTGAGATCATCAAAATTTTAATCAGTACCTTAAAAAGAAGGCTCGTCTGTATATAAAAGAGACTGATAAGGCTGAATATTTGTTGGACATGTGA